ATTGTTTATTGCATAACAACAGGGCAGCGATACTTACTTTGCGCCAAACGCTTGTCTCGACATCTCAAACATGGAGAAAGTAACACACCACACTCAGTGCCAGGATGACAGGGCCGTATCAAGGTTCTTTTCGTACCCTTCGTACCGGCAGCTTGCCGAGTGCCGAAAGCGTATTGTTTCGAAATGAGCGCCAGCCACTCACGGGAGATGACGCGCCACGACGGTGCCCGCTGACCAGAGCCTTACCGCAGAAAGGCGGTGTCAGCTAGCAACTGCTGCAAACGAACAAGATCTGTTAAGGACCGATGATGGCTGAGGGCCTGGTGATTCAGGCGGGCATGCGACAGCACTTTACAAACCAAACGCGGACAAAACCTCGACGAGAAGAGATGGGACTAAAAATAAAGTTTGATCGTCAGGGCCTTCAGCCACGACAAGTGGCACGCCTAGTAGCACGCCTATGAGGTCAGATCCTCCTAGCTCTTCCGGGCGTTTGGTGCGTTGGAGCCAGGAGCATAGCCGCCTGTGCATTGTGGGTCATTCCGCAGCCTCCCGTCAGCATGGAGCGCATCATTTAACATTGCCATGATTCCGCATTTGTTCGCGATTCATTTCGCGTCTTCTCAGCCTTCTCACCCCTCCTTTCTTCACATCCATTCGTTAGGATGAAGTATTCTTTCGCCTTGTCTGCTTCGGCATTGACTAGTTTAGCGACCTGTAAGTGATGCGCCTCCTTGTGTTCCTGCAGGGACCCAACTGACGCATGACAGCATCTGCGGTTGTTCCTCGGGAAGCTAGAGTCGTGCCTCCCAATGGCTTGGATGTCTTGAAGCGTGCCTCGCCCCAGGCTCCCAATGGCTACGCGCCCGCCGAAGTCAACTGCCCGTCCACACGCCCGAGCATTCGATCCGCCGACAAACTCTCCCAGCAAGAGACAGAATGGCTCCAGAAGAGGAGGCCGAACACGATAGACCCTATGCGCGAGTTCCTCGAGCGCGTCAACATTGAGGGCTTTGACGTTGGACAATACATCAGCAACCACCGCGACAACACCACCGCCCTACCGAACATCGCGATCTCGTTCTCTGGTGGAGGATACCGGGCCCTGCTGAACGGTGCAGGTGCTCTAGCGGCGTTTGACAGTCGGACAACGAACTCGACAAGTGCAGGACATCTTGGAGGAATCTTGCAGGCATCCACATATGTTTCCGCACTATCAGGAGGAGGCTGGATGATTGGCAGCATCTACGCCAACAACTTTACCTCAGTTGAAGCAATCATCAACAAGGGTGAGGACTCGGCGATTTGGCAATTCCAGAACTCGCTGTTCAAGGGACCTCCTACGAAGGGAATCCAGCTGCTCTCGACTGCGCAGTACTACGACAACTTAGTCAGCACGGTCAAGGACAAGAGTGATTCGCCAGCTGGTGACTTCAATACGTCGATTACCGATGTTTACGGCCGCGGTCTTTCTTTCCAGCTCATCAACGCCAGTGATGGAGCCCCAGGTATGTTTACCCACAGATTCTTGAAGTCCACAAGCTAACCCCAATAGCCTACACCTTCTCTTCCATCCAGGACGACCAGGACTTCTCGTCTGGAAATGCACCAATGCCTATCCTCGTCGCAGATGAGCGTTCGCCCGGAGACTTGATCATCTCTTTGAACGCCACCAACTTCGAGTTCAACCCGTTCGAAATGGGCTCATTCGACCCTACAACCTACGGTTTTGCTCCTCTGAAGTACATCGGCTCCAACTTCAGCGAGGGTGAACTTGCTCAAGACCAGGGCTGTGTTGAGGGATTCGACAACCTGGGATTCGTCATGGGAACCAGCAGCTCCTTGTTTAACCAGATCTTCCTCACATTAAACACCATCCAGGACGTACCCCAGATCCTCGTGAACTTTGTGTCAAACATCTTGAAGGGTATCGGTGAAGATGGCGACGATATTGCCGACTACTCACCTAACCCGTTCTTCCGCTACCACAATGAGACGAACCCCAGTGCTGACAGGGAACGTCTTACTCTCGTTGACGGTGGTGAAGACGGCCAAAACATTCCTTTCAACCCGGTCATTCAGCCCGTACGCCAGGTCGATGTCGTCTTTGCTATCGACTCCTCTGGCGACACCGTCGAGGAGGATGACCCGTCGCAAAACTGGCCAAACGGTACTTCTCTGGTTGCAACCTACGAGCGTGCAAGCGGCACTCTCATGAACAGGACTTCATTCCCCTACATCCCCGGCCAGGACACTTTCGTTGCCCTAGGTTTCAACAGCCGCCCTGCTTTCTTTGGTTGCAACAGCAGCAACGTTACTGAGGGCGACAACATTCCTCCTCTCGTTGTCTACCTCCCCAACGCCCCCTACGTCTTCTGGTCCAACACCTCCACCTTCAACAAGCTCGACTACAGCATCTCGGAGCGCAATGGCATGATCGAGAACGGCTACGATGTCGTCACCCAAGCAAACTCCACACGTGAGGGTGCTTCGAACTGGCCTACTTGCGTCGGATGCGCTATCCTCTCTAGAAGTCTGGAGCGCAACGGCGAGGCTATCCCACAAGTGTGCCAGCAGTGCTTCACTGACTACTGCTGGAACGGCACCACAGTCGAGACATCGCAGCCATACACTCCCGAGCTGATCGTCGGTCAGCTCGCCACTACAAACAACGGCGACGACGACAGCGGTGTAGGAAAGTTCGTGCCCAACGTCCTCGGTCTTGCTCTGGCAGCGGCCGTCTCTGGATACCTGATGATGTGAGATATTTTCTAGTTTGCTTTTGGCGACATAGGGATTGGATTCAGCGCGGTTGAAAGATGATACCACCTCTCTTTTGTAGATAGTAATTGAGTCAATACACGTATACCGAACGTTCCATTGCCATTCACCTATCACACGTGCGACATTACCATACCATGCATTGCGGCTCTTCGGCGCCGCCCGTCCCTGCATCACCGAGGCGTGCCCCGCCAGTTGCGCGCCCATCAAAAAAAGTTACAACCCCGCCACGCTTCATGCACTCAACGCCATTCTTCCGCAATCACCACACACAATGGCCGCCGTTCCGTCGCTCGCAGGCGCGCCCGTACTCTCTACGCCCGACACGCACATCTTCGAAGACCCCACTCCCGCTGTAGACACGTCGAGTCTCCCCAGACTTTCCGATGAGCAGATCACCCTCACATATGAGATCGAGCGGACGGTTAGGGACATCCGCGAGGGGAGATGGAAGAGGATTGCGTTGCAGTTCCCGGATCATATGCTTACTGATGCGCCGAGGGTGTATGAGCAGCTAAGTCGGGGACTGGGCAAGGCGAGGAAGGCGCGGGATGGTGTGCAAGAGGAGAATGGACACACAAATGGGACAACAGGCGTGGAAGAAATCAGCGCGGGAATGGAGAAGGCGGCGATAAGTGAAAACGGGAGCAAAGACGAGAGTCTGTTTATACTGGGTGATACATCATACGGCGCATGCTGCGTAGACGAGGTTGCAGCAGAGCACGTCGATGCGGACGTTGTCGTACACTATGGCCGCTCATGTCTCTCGCCTCCTTCAAGACTACCAGTCGTATACGTCTTTACCGAACGACCGCTAGACCTCGACCCCGTAATCGCAACATTCCAAGAAACATATCCAGAGAAAGACGCAAAGATCATACTCATGGCCGACATACCATACTCGCACCACATCCCCCCACTCCACGCACGCCTACAAGACGCCGGCTACACGCACATCCACGCCACAGAAATCGTACATAATCCCTCATCGCCGCTTCCAAACCGAACGATACCACCGAACACAACGGAAACAGACGAAGCACTCCACGACTACGCCCTCTTCCACATCTCCGACCCCCCAACCTCCCTCCTCCTCACCCTCTCCTCGCGCGTCGCCTCAATACACATCTACCCCACAGACACGCCCTCCACCACCCCACCAACCGCCTCCCTAGCCCGCACCCACCAAACCCTCATGCGCCGCTACGCGCTCCTAACCTCCCTCTCCACAACCCCCATCTTCGGCATCTTGATCAACACGCTCTCCGTAAAGAACTACATGCACATCCTCTCACACGTCCAGCGGCAAATCAGCGCCGCGGGCAAGAAATACTACACGTTTGTCGTTGGCAAAGTGAATGCAGCCAAGGTGGCTAATTTCAGTGAGGTGGGGGGATGGGTGGTGATAGGGTGTTGGGAGAGTAGCTTGATTGAGAGTAGGGAGTTTTGGCGGCCGGTGATTACGCCGTGGGAGCTCAAGGTGGCGTTGATGGGGGATGAGGAGAGGGTTTGGACGGGGAGGTGGGAGGGGGATTTTCAGAAGGTTTTGGATGAGGGGGAGGGGGATGTGAAAGAGAAAATTGGTAGCAATGCGCAGGAGGGAGAGGGAGAGGGAGATGCGAATGGCGATTATGACTCTGAGGAGGAATCTGCGCCTCCGGAATTTGATCTCAGGACTGGTCGCTATGTTTCGCATGCGAGACCTATGCGCTCGAGTGCCACACCAAAAGCGGTTAATGGGAATGCAGCGACGTCGTCGTCTAGTTCGGCGCTGACGAAACGAGCGAATGGCGATATAGCGGCTGTAGGGGGCGTTGCGTCGCCTGGTGCAGAGTATTTGCGCTCGAACAGGACATGGCAGGGCCTGGGCACTGATTACCGGGATGCAGAGGATGGGGAAGAAGGGGTTGGAGGTAAGCGGGCGGCTAAGATGGAAGAGGGAAGGAGTGGAATTGCGAGGGGGTATGTTGTTGGTGAGCAGGGGAGCAGGCATTGAGTAGATACAAGACGAGGGATTCGATTCTCATCATCTGTTGACAGTATTACTATCTCAGAACTACGAAAGCGTTTGAAACAACAGATCGAGTCGATGCTTGTGAGATGCCGTCGCACCCTTTTCCATATTTTTTACTTCGTCCTCCTGAAAAGTCTCGACGAAATTCTCCTTCCTTTACATGGTCATTGCTAGATCTCCTTGGCCAGCGGTCCTCTCATTGTATTCACATTGCAATTCTCCCCCAAGCTGTCTCCATGTCTTGGACCAGCGTGAGGAAGTCGTCGCTTTCCAGGTGGCGGTAGACGAACTCGTTGAGCGCTGCTCTACGTCCCTCGTCAGACTGCATCGCATATGTCGCCAGCTGGTCGTGCTCATTGACACTACTAGTAGCACCTGGATTGGACATGCTCACACCACGATGACCAGCAACAGACGTAGGTGGGGTGTCGAAACCACTATACGACATGTTATGGTGAAGATTCTGTGCAGCATAACTTCGTTCGCCAAGAGATTGCGGTGTCGGGATGGCACTGAAACTTGACCGCTTGAAAGATAACGGAGAGGAGATTGGAGACGATGTCAACGGTGACTGATTCTCGATACCGCCATGTGGAGATGTCTTTGCGCGTGCAGGACTGTACTGATCTTGGTTCGGTGTGCGAGGAGGCTGTTGCATTGGTTGCTTTCCACGTGCGGTCTTGCTGATGACAGTGGGTTGGGGTAGAGGTGGAAGTTCGATCTCCTTGCTGGTTGCGCTTCGGCTGGAACCAGGTCGGTTACTGGCTACGTGTGCTGGTAGAGGAGGAGGCCCCATTGTGCCAGTAGAGGGCCGCACGCTGTCGCTGCCAGAGGAGCGCGGCGAAGATAAGCGTGGGAAAGGAAGTTCGCGTCTCGGTGGTAGTATCTCAGTGCTACCAGGGCGATCCGCAGTACCGGGACGATTTGGACTACCAGGGCGGTTGAACAGCATAGCAGTATCCGGTCGCTCCGTAGACATACGATGAGATTCTTGAAGGTCCGGCATGTGCTGATCTGACGTATATGAAGAGTCAACATGCGAGCGTCCTAAGATATCCGAGGTTGCTGAGGTAGGACGAGTGAACAGTACTGGAGGAGCAAGAGGACCTGAGAATGATGCCGGTACACCACCCGCTTCTCTATTATAGCCTGTGGTGGCAGATACCGGACGGTTGTATGATGCTGTGGGTAGTTGATGATCCAAGGAAGCAGAGAAGTCATAGCTAGTGGACGGTCGAGTAGAGATCTCCGCCAGCCGTGAAGGAGGACATGATGGTCCACCTACGACAGGGCTCATATGAGGCAGCTGAGGGTAGCTAACAGCAGTCAGACTTGGCCGAGAGGATGATCCTCCTCGCGCCGGCGATGGTGGCTGAGCCGTAGACCTTGGCTGAGACGGGACTGCCTTTTGGCCGCCCATGTAGAGACCGAGATGAAGGAGGTGGCTGAACGCGGTGTCGAAGTCTTTGTCCGACTTGAACCTCATCTGGATGCGCCTGATCTTGTCGTTGGCCACTTGCCATTTGATAGCGAGGAGAGGACAGCGCACAATGGCGGATATGTGTAGGTGGTCGGGCTGCACCTGCACTCCGCGCTCTTTACTCAGACGGGTAATGTGATTGCCTTCGTTGATCAGTCTCTCGATTTCGATGGTTTGCTGTCATCCAACGGTTAGCTAGCACATCATTTGAAGCGGGTTTCCAATCTGACTGGGTGGGTAATCAGTCATGCACGCGTCGTACCCGGACCTGCGAGCCTTGACACAGTTTCATGAGCTGGAGACCACCGCGCGCACCATAGCTGTCGATGATCAATGTGAGGTCATTGGTCTCTTTCTGCCAGTTGAACCTCTGCTCGCTGGTGTCGGTGTCCTGTGCTGTTGACAGAGTCTGGAGCGGAAGGGAGAGCATGATTGTTAGCAATGCTGTTTGTTAGTCGAGATCAATCAGCTGCCGTCTAATGGCATTTGTGTGATGAACTATGTCGTCATGGAGACATTTGCGCACGCAGGTGTTGAGGATGTGAGAGATGGTCGAAGGAAGTCGCGACTGGCCACCCAGTCACATGACGTGGTCCGTGCGAATCAACGCGAGGGACCTGGTGCAGTCTGGAGTTCTGGTGTTCGCCCATCCATCATCGCGAACGACGCGCGCCGCGCATTCACGAGCAGATCCACCATTGCGCCTGGCACACAGCTGAATCCACGCATGCGTCGCGCCCCGTGCCCGAGCAGTCCCGAGTAAATGCGACAGCCGCACCATGGCCCCAAACAAACCAGAGGAACAATCTGTCGAGCGCACCCAAGAACATGAAGACTTCCTGAATACCTTGGCCGAATACCACGAAAAGCGCGGGTGGGTTTTGTTCTTTGTCTCGCCGCAATGAGCGCATATTGACCCGACGTGTAGCACTGTCCTGGATCGCGAACCCAAGGTCGGGAGCCGGCACATTGACCTGTTGCGACTCTACAAACGCGTTAATGAAGAGGGAGGGTACGATAGGGTTTCAGATACCAAAAACAACAAGCTTGCGTGGCGCAAAATCGCGACTGAGTTCCTGCCCAAGAGCCCCAGCATCACCACCCAGGCCTTTTTGGTGAAGACGGCCTACTACAAGAACCTTGCGTACGTGAATCGTGAAAGACAACTTTGCGCCTACCACTGCTGACGCCTGCTCTAGCGCCTACGAAATATCCACCGTTCACAAGCGCGAACCCCCGCCGCCCGAAATCCTCGAGAACGTATCTGCAAAGGGCGGAGACCTGCTCAACCGGACCGTCGACAACTTCTTCCCAACCAGCAACAGAGAGGCCGAGCGATTAAGGGGAGAGGAAGACTCCGATTCTGAAGACGACGTCGAGAAGACACCGAAAGACGACAAGATGGACATGGACGAGCCCGGCAGCCTTGGGCGGTCGACAAGGTCCCTCCGTCATGCGCCGCCGCAGCGAGTGCTCTTCCAGCCCGAGTCTTCAACCCGACAGACGCGCCAATCGACAGGCCACCTGACCTCGTCGCAAGCCAACGGCTACGGCACCAGCGGAGCAGCCATGACGATCGCGAACTACGAGCCACGGACCGCTGTACCAGCCACCATGAAGCCCGTCGTTACCCCGTCCAACTCCCTCGATACCTACATACAGTCGCGCAAGAAGTACATTCTCAACAAGAAGAACAGGCCGGTGCCGCTCAAGGGCATGATGCTGCCCGGTACCGGCTTCTCAGGGCCCAGCATATACATCCGCGCTTTGAACGCGCTGCGGTCAAAGGAGCCTGAGGAGGAGGCATACGCACTGCACCACCTGGTCAAGATCTCGCACGAGCGAGGAGACAAGTACCGCTTCGATCAGTTCCCGGGGCTCGCAGATGCACTCATCGCCAAGGTCATTGACGTGTCCACATTGTTCTTCGATGTGAACTGGGACATCTCATACGTCGAAGAGGACTTTACTCAGCCGCAAACCCTGAACGGACTGACCGGCACCCGCGACCTGTTGCAGCGCATTAGATCTCTCCGCCCACTCGACATGCACGACAACCTCCTACCCGAGCAATCCGCAAAGGCCCTCACCATGATCAACGAGGCTGCGCTCATAATCCGGAACATGGTAATGCTGAAAGAGAATGCCATCTTCGCGGCCTCTGTGCCATCCATCCAAGATATGATCGTTATCGCACTAAATCTGCCCCGCCACTCCACTATCGTGGAGCTACAGCATTATGCCCTAGAGATTGCAGAGCAGCTGACAAAGTACTGGATATTGGACTCGCAAAGCCCGCTGTATCGCTCTTTGCTCGCCCAAGTGGATTCTGATGACCGTGGCCGCATCATCACATCGCTGAGAGCACTCGCCCGGATAGCAATGAACCTGGAGGCTACAAACAAGCTCTCTGACGTTCCAGTCAAGACCCTCAAGTCAATCTGCGACTGGCTGCTAGTAGAAGACGAAGACCTGCGCATAGCATGCCTGGACTTCCTCTATCTCTTCACTGGTTTCCCCGACAACGTTGAGACGCTTGTACACGAAGTTGATATTGAGGGAGTGGCGAAGCAACTGGTACGCTTGTTGCAATACGGCGCAATTGCATACGAAGAACGAAGGAGTGCCGCCAAGACAGCAAAGACCTCTGCACCTCCAGAGAATGCGCCTAAGCTATCGTCTGCGATCATAGATCATCTCGTGACGCTTGATGAGCCAGAGCGTAGCTCGCAATGGCTCAAGACGTGTTTCGAAGAGGATGCGACTGGCGAGATTACTCAGATTCAGCTCTGGTCGGCCTACAACGCAGCCTTCTCAGAACACATGACGAATAATCCGGCTTCTTTCAAGGCGCTGATGCCAGCTAAGGACTTCATCACGAATGTATCGACGACGTTCGGTGGCGCCTCCGCTCAGGTGTTGACCGTGGGTGGGCAGCCAAAGTATACCATAAGAGGCATACGGCCACGATCCGTACCAGTTGACCCAAGCACCAAGAGGCCGTACATGCGCTGCTGCTGGCATCCACCGAGCCTCCTCAACGGCCACGCCGACTCGAAACATTCGACAGCTAACATCGAGTGCGGTGAGTTCGCTTCTGGAGCACGCTCCATGTGGGAACACGTGGTCAGTGTCCATCTCCAAGTTCCCCGCGACCAGGAAACCGGACAATGGTTGCTTGAGCCAAAGCTGGACATCAAGGACATTGTCAATATCGAGAACGGCGACACCCCAGAAGCGACGAAATACTATTGTCACTGGGGCGGCTGCACTCGATTCTCGCCTGACGGCACAGAATCCGCGTTCGAGGCTGGACAGCATGTCAAAACGCATTTGCCTGATACGAGTATCAAGCAGGCCATCCATGCGAAACACAACCGCACGCCTTCAGAGTCACGGCCCTTGACTTCTTCCGCACAAGCACGACATGAGAACTTCCAGCCGCAATTTGGACAACCGGTCGGGCTGGGTAGCTTGGGTATGGGTGGGCGACACCAAAGTTCATCGACCAGCTCTGCAAGCAGATACGGTGGCCGAGAGGATGCAGCAGGAGCACAATCAGCACCCAACTTCCGCTACTACAACACGGCGACTGACGATACCAACGATGCCGCCGGTCTCCCTCTGTCCTCTGTTCTGGTCCTTCGCAACCTTGCTCGCCAGCTCAACAAGATCCCGCCCCCAACCACTGTCACCGACATCACCTCGCCATCCTCCCCGGCCCACAAGCGGACCTTCAGTGCCAGTGAAGGAAGCCCCGAAGCCGCAAGACGGGCCACAGCCGGCGGCAAGAAGCCACGTCTCAGCGATGCAGCAGCGGAACAAAGACGAGAGAACGAAGAGAAGGAGGAAGAAGAAGCCAAGAACGCAGGATGGGTGCCTCGCATCTTTGCTCCGCTGCGAGACCAGATTGCCTTTACTGCGAGTCACAACCTTACTCTCCGGAATTATGTCGGCGGTCTACTCAAGGCCATCGCTGAAGGTGGTGGTTAGATGTAGTAGTATGTGTTTGTAAAGCCCTTGCTGCGTGGCGTTGTTGAGGTTGCAAAAGGCTGTTTCCGCTTTCTTCTGTATGAGCGACACGGTATTGTTCGGAGTTTACTACATTTGTGCTCAGGGGAGTGTACGCTTAGATATCTGGGTAGTTTCATGGTACCGCTTCGACTGATGAGTCGGGTGTCGGCAAGTTTGTTACTTATTACTTCAAGCAAGTGAGTTTACGTTATCCGAATTCCTTTGACACGCTTATCATCCGTCAGTACCGTACATGGCGATTGCGCGTTCTTTGGGGGTATGGTTTTGACCTTGGGAATTCGTGTGACACGCTGACGCTAAAGCCGCCGCTGCCTGCCCATCCCACAGTCATGCTTTCCTGCCCTCCAGACTGAGATCTAAGACACCTCCGAACTAATCGGGGCTCTCACACACGACCAACAAGCTTAGGCGAAGCCCCGAGGAACCGACAGTAGCTTCAAGATACGATGCGGATAAGATTCTAGTGAAGGATCAATGGTGCTGAGTACAACCAAGCCGGCTGAATCTACTTCAAAGTGCTTCACAGCATAGAGGCGTTTTCTCGGCACGTTGGGTGGTGTAGCGGCAGTTGCACAAATTCTGATCGGTACAGTCTTTGTCTTGAGGCAGGTTGGCTTCTATTGGTTGGCGCACATGGTCCCGCGAAGGTTTCTGGTCGAGTCTAGGTAAAGGTGGGTGGAATGTACGGTTCGCTACCCAGATACCGCATTCCTTCTCCACACCTTCTCCGCGCCCATTACAGCGCGTTTGCATGGCTTCGATGGTTACAATGACCGCAATGATAGGCCAGCTAGATAACGAAAGAGAGGGGTGTAGAGAAACAGTGGCGCATATTGTGAGAGCGTTTGCGCACGCGGCGCTCGTGTGCCACTTCAGTCAGCCGGAGAAGAGGGTATGCGACGGCTGCGGTCATTGAAGCCTACCTTGGTTCACATCCCTTATTCAAGTCCCTTCTCTTACATACTTGGTATATAACCTTGCTGTGGGTTATCCGGCCAAGGCTTGTCATACACTTGGTGCTGGGCATACAGAGATATAGGTATAGACTTACCAGCCGCTTATCCGACTCGAAGATGGCGACTTACATCGGTACGTACTCTTCCTTCGATTAGGCTGCAAGCCCTGAGCTATGCGGCGCAAAAGACGAATGCGTAGAAAATATTGCAAGATGTCGCAGTCTCGGGGACTACCATAGACTTTATATATTCCCGGACTGATCCACACCCCGGTCGCATCACCCCAGATACTCCGCACAAGGATTCCTTCCTGCACACCTCACACCACTTGACTAACCATCCCAACGCAGAACCCCTCGCGCACCTCCTCACCGGCAACGCAACCTACCGCACCGATACCACAGCCCTTGACCCCAACGCCTTCACACTCCTCGCCCAA